GATGTACCTGCATTTCTCAGTGAGTGATGATGTTCCCACCGAGGCTCGAACCCAGTGCCCATAGTTTCAAACACCAAAGCGTTATTTATTCGTCAACTGTAAAATAAGATGAAAAGAGAGATGTTATTTTGTCTACTACTGCTTTCTTTTTGTTGTTGAACAGCATAATTAGTAACCTCTGAATGCTATGTGTGTAGCTTACTTATCATGACAGCAATTAAAAAGAAAAACAAACTTTCTTGTGACTACAATTCAGCCTATTACATACCTGGCTATTGACAAAACAAAAAAGTAAACCCAGTCATTAACGATAACAATTTACCTTGACTATATGTTGTCACGACGACTGTTGCAAATCTCCAAAAAGGAAAAGCTAGTAGGTGTGTGAATTGCAAAGATAATAATAATAATAAAAATAATATCTTCAGTAAAGGAGAAAAAAACTCTAGAGAATTAAAAATATGCAATTACACTCACAAGCTTTCGCTTGTTCCTACCTTCTCTTTTTTTGCAGATATTTTATATTCTGCCGCGTTATTTTATTAATTGCTAATATACTTTGTTATAGTAAATGCAAGGAGTAATGTTATCTCTCATTCTATTTCTATACTATCATTGTTGCCATGCTTACCATAAAAAAAACAATGAAGAACAAACAGTTGAGTAGAGCAGTAGATTGCAAGCGCCAGCTGACAATACAGTAAAATGGAAATAGAAATTAGTCGTATCGACTCTCTCTCTCTCTCTGTCTATCTCATTCTCTCTCTTTCACAGTAAGAAAATGAAACACCGCCAATAATGAGGACGTGAGGTTATTCTGTTAGCATTGTACAATTAGAGAAGAAAATAAGTAGAATGATTTAAAAAATAATGAAATTAAAACAATTAGTCCCTTTGATAAATGTGAATTAAGGCATTAAGAAGACAAATTTCGCTGCGAGATGATATCTTCATTTCGTAGTTTCTTTACAACCACTTTACAACTAATATGGTTAATAATAATAAAATAAAGTTTATGACTCAATCACTCAATTAAATAAAAAGCACAAAAGTGCACACTAATGACCAAGCATATTCAGATAGGTCATGTTGTCCATGGTAGGCGAAGGTTGAAGTCTATTGAATTTGTAAAAACAGTTTAGGCTGTATGCGATTAATCCTCCAAAGTGCTACCATCACCTTTAATCACCGACCTTAAATTAGAATTATGTGATGAAATAATTGTGAAACAATCATTAATATCGATTGATTTTGTGACCTGACATTAATAAGTGTTTTCCAATGGATGATGCTGGTACAGAAAAGGCAGCTTCTGTACCAAAGAAAGCTATCTTTATTAACCTACCATTCAAGGGCGACCAGATTATGCAGTTGACAGCTTTACCTACGATTAAAGGACGAAATTCTGTGGACTCTACTTCAAACTGTATCTACAAGTTCACCTGCAGCTGCGGTGAGACCTATATAGGTCGAACCACAAGAAAATGTTCCAATGTCGTGGTCGAAAAGAACATGTTCCAAAATGGTCACTAAATCATATAGAAAATCCCAATGCGATTAATCTGAATAGAAATCCATCATCATCATCCATTGCAAAACACTTATTAATGTCAGGTCACAAAATCAATCAATATTAATAACTGTTTCACAATTATTTCATCACATAACTCTAATTCAGGGTTGGTTGGTTAATAAAGGTGATGAAAGCACTTTGGGGGATTAATCACACACAGCCTAAACTGTGTGTACAAAAACAACACAATAGACTTCAATCTTCACCTACTATGGACTACATGACCTATCTAAATATGATTGGTCATTAGTATGTTTTTATATATACCTGAGTAATTGTCATGCCTTAAATTTGATTATTATTGTTAACCATGTTACTTGGTTCACCACACATTTGTCCCGATTAACACTGTTAACTGTAGTAGGATTAGATTGAAGGAGAGAGTTGGCAGTAGTCAGAGAAAAATGCGGCATCAGCTGATGAAGTCATTGATTATTGTTGATCTGAGCTGCACAGTAAGATGTAGACTGTCTAGCTTAGTTGTTCGAGAGGCTATAGATCAACTATTGGAAAGTATAGGTACCATGGTTACTGTCTTTCAATATGTAAAAAATCTCCATTTAGAAAGCCAAAACGATTGAGCGAAAAAATACTCACGTTTCAACTAGATCTTCATATCTGGCTCTATTCTAATATGTAATGTGTAAACCAGACTACTTCACCCTCTCGTTAAACCATTTCAAATTATAATTAATTGTTCAAATCATTTTTCTGACTAACTTCATCTTTTTGTAATCACGTGTTATCATTTTTCAAATTTACTTTTGTTCTTATGACTACTTTATCTTGAATTATAAATTACCCTTGTCAAAATTATTCTACCTTTTTCTATAACAATCTGTTATGTAGTCGACTTGAACATTCACTTATTCTTTAATTACGCTTCTTTTGTTTTTTTTTCTTTTGAAAATTATGCATTGTGCATTGTCCACTTGTTGTCACCATTTTTGTCCTTTTAATTGGTACATATTAATTTTCTTCGTTATAATTATCATTTTCTATAGTTTTGGTTTGTAAGGATTAGTTATGTTTTACGAGTTGATCACGGATTGATATCAGTTAGAGAACCATTGAAAACCAGGGAGTACTGGACAGCTGCTGTTTCATCCTAGTTTGGGAATCATCGGCAGTACGCACCCACTGGGTTTCGAACCCAGGACCTTCCGGTTACAAGGCAAGCTCGTATACCATTCAGCCACTGGGACCCGATTCAATGGCTCGTGAATTCTAACTTCTACCAATTCGTGATTTAGCGCGACCCCAACCATTGTCGTTGGTGGGACATCCATCCACACACGTGACATCTAATTGGACCTCACTGGTCACGACTTCTCACTAGAACTCACGAAACTCCAACCTGTGTGTGGATGGATGTCCCACCAACGACAATGGTTGGGGTCGCGCTAAATCACGAATTGGTAGAAGTTATAATTATCACCCTCTTTTGATATATGTTGATACAGACTAATTATTGTTACACATACTTTTATCGCCACTTGATTGGTAAATTGTTGTGTATTATAATAAAAATGCTAGTGCTACATTTACATATTAGATTGCATGGGGAAGACTTCATCATGATTAGAGCCAAACACTCGTCTTATTTCCCATCTGATTGTTGTAGTTGATCAATAACACTCGTATTATTATTATTATTTCTGAATGTACATTATCCCATATTGATTTTTATTCAAATGTCTAATCATTTTAACTCATGTATATAAATGAAGCTAGGAAGTTATATGAGTGACGTGATATGATGATTATGAGTGGCAATAATTTGTGCTTGAAATGTGGTCGCATCAGTTAATATTACTGTACAACAAACACTGTGTAACACTTTATCAAAATAAAATCTTATCCATCATGGAGTTATACTCCTACCACCACAGTGCCCAAGTTTTATACTTATATGAAAAGTGAATATTTCTTCGCTCACTCCTTTTGTTTTGCTGTCTTTCACATTCTGCAAAGGAAAAGATTCGTCGTATGGTTGCATTCCATATTTTATGCAATTCTTCTTCAAAGTGTGACAATGTGAACTGATGTATTTGTGTGCAAAATTCCATTTAATCTGGAGTATACTAATACTAATGAAGTATAATTGATAAAGAATTTGCCTTTTTCTCCATTATGGTTAAGATTTTATTTTTAGAAATCATACAGTGTTTGTCGTACAGTAACATTAACTGGTGACCACATTTCAAGCACAAACTATTGCTACTCATAATCATCATATCAAGTCACTTAATCACACAAATTTCATGCGTCATGAGTGAAATTGATGATTAGATACTTGAATAAAATCAATTATATAAGAAAAGTACATTCGGAAATAATATCAATGAGATGGGAATTTTTTTTTTTACAGTAAAAATAAGTAACTTGTTAGAATGTTATAATGTGAGTTGTATACATTAATCATTATTCTCAGATTTGATTTGTGGTAATACTATTTTCCATATTTCTGGTATTCGCATTGAGTCATTTCTGTTGCATGTGTTGTGTTGGGTGTAGACTCGATGAACAAGGATTCAATAATTAATTTCTCTCTCTCTCTCCACCTACATAGATTACTTTTTAGAATCTTAACTCTTCCCACCCACCCTATTGTGTGGTTGTGTTTTAATGTGTGCAGTGAAATTGCTGAGCTTCCTTCGAAATTACTTATTTTTGTGGGATCAATCATTCTAACCTGAGCTAAATTCCAACGTTGTGATAATATCAGTATTCCTGATCTACAAGTTTCACCTATTTAGTTTACTCAACTCACAGTCACTGCAAAGTATTTTGTAAATTATATTATTTCGTTGAATTGGGTCAACAGGTTCTTTATTCTACAGAGCTGTCCTACCTGAGTGAGTTTGTAGGTTTGAATGCCACCGCCCTAATTCCCGCTTTATTGAGAATCCTACAAAGGACCTCAGCCGTCCCCTTATTATATGATGAAAGTGTAAATGCCCTAAATTCGTTTACCGATATTTCATGCTTACATCAATTCGCCGGTCTTGTGAGCAGAAGGTCCTGGGTTCGAATCCTGGTGGATGCATACTTATGAAGAGTCCCAAATACGACGAAACAGCTGTCCAGTACTCCCAGGTTTCCTGTGATTCTCGAATTGATGTCAGCTCATGATGAAATCCTCAATGCAAAAGATATTTTTACAAATCGTTTTTACTGATTATATAATGAAGGGTTAAATACAAAGTTAAAAATAACTAAAATATTATGTCAGCATGACTAACTCTCAGTTAGTCTGTGTGTGTTCATTAGGAAATGGAGTAAATTTTATATTGCTTGGATTTGACCGTCTATGCACTTTTTAAAAAATATCATTTCATTTTACAAAAACTAAAACAAAATTTTATTTCTTAATATCTCATAAATGAATTCATCTTTTTTTTAATTTTCCTTTCATGTTTTGTAGAATGGACATATGGATAATCCATATTGTGAAGGTATACAAGGTGCTATGGCTGCTTATGCTCATTCTTTGAGAACAGTTAAATTTCATGGGCCAACAAATTTTGCACCAATTATTAATACAGTAGCTAGGTAAGTCAACTGATTTTATTCTTCTACCTCACTTATTTTCTGTGCGTCGATGGCATAGCGGTTAGGACGCTCGCCGACCATGCATATGGTCCGAGGTTTGATCCCCAGCCGGTGCACTCCTTTATCTCGCTAAGCCAGTAGTGAAATTGGTGAAGAGGAAAGGTTTGGCATGAGGCTAGCAACCTCATCCTGTAAAAAATAATCACCACTGATACAGAAACTTCAAGCATCTAGCCTGAAGCCCTATGTTCCAATGGGAACGTGCAGGAAAACAAAAAAAAGCTTATTTTCTATTTGTACTATTTCTGTGGTTATATGTAAACATTTCGATATAGATTATACAGATAACGATTTTTTTTTTACTTCTGTCAACATCACAATTTCTGTCTGATATCTCAGTTTACAGACAAAAAGTTACAATGCGCGGAAATCTTCCAGTGGCGAAGTGCATTTCAAAAATTCCGTTATAGTAACAATAAGAATAATAATAATAATTTGCTTTATTCCAAAAACAGTACTTTCGATACAAAATGGAATTATCAGCATCTCACGACAGTATTGCATACAGTTTGTACATTTACGACAAATAAAATTATACATAGATTATGAGTAATCTCAGTTAATTACGACAACAATATATCGGTATATCGGTGGTAGCAGCGCCAAAAGTGAACATGTTTTGAAGGTGTTAGAAAAGTAGATACTGGCATATTTACTGGCGTAAGCGGTAACAAAACAATCGAGATATACTGAGTGTGAGAGAACGAAGATGAATGTTTTAAGTAGAGTTTGTAAGGAAGAGAGATGAGATCCAATTGTTCTACTGACTATTTAATAAGTTATAGGTATCACGCCTAATGCTTTCTTTATCGCACAGAACATGAGCCAAGTAGGGAGGGTATGGTTGAGTTTTTATACTTGCTAGTGCGAGCATATAGTTTTCTATATAGGCTTCTGGTTTCGCCTGATGAGATACAAAGAGGGGGGGAGAGTTGTGAATGAAGAGGGTGATGTGAGTAAGATAAAATGGATTTAGCCCATTTTTCACATGAGTCCATGTGCCTGTCGACCAGTATATTAACAAGCTGGTTAAGTGGCACATTGCTTACCCTGCTGACAACCTTTAACATCCTACGTAGTAAGATATGGTCGTTCTTCAGTAGCCCTGGATAAACTAAGAGAGGACCATAGAGACTAATAAGCAGGATGCAAAAGTTAAGGAATCGTAAGAGTAAGGGTTGGGTTAGGTTACTCAAGAATGTCTTAACTTCTTGATGTAAAATGTAAGATGGAATATTTTCTTATAAATCATCAAGATATGAAACGACCAGGAGAGATCAGCAAATAGAATGACGTTTAGGTATTTAATTTCTGACTAGGTTTCTATTTCAGTGTCATTTATGTTGTACACCACGTGAGTGCTAACCAGTTTTTTTTAGGTCAGATGTATGCCTCAAGGTGAAACTGACTGTTCGGCATTTAGAGGGGTTTAAGGTTTGACCGTTTTCCTTGGACCACTGGCTGATTTCTGATAGAACGCCATTAAGTAATAATAATAATAATGATTATACTTATCAATAAAAGCCTCCGATAAGACGAAAAGCAATGTATAGTTTTGTGATTTTGTTGCTTCCCACCCCTCCCAAAAAAATAACACTTATATATCGCAGAACAAAACTTCATTTTTTTCTATGTTTATTTCGTCGCTAATGGACATCAGTTAGAAATTCGGCATATAGTTTAGATAGGTTGTTTTTCAGATCCTGAAACTCTTCAGCGACATGTGCCTATAAACCTTACAGTGTATAGGAGCATGTGCAGAAACGACGGCTATCTGTATATGAAGTACACACACACACACACTACTGCCTATCTTGTGAAGCAAAATGCAAGAGCCTCTGGATTGTATCTTTACTAAATAGGAGGCCGTGTCACTCCATCACTGTAGTGGATTAGTATTGCCTTGACATCCAATTGGATGAAATCTACTGCTCAAAAACTTTGTTTTCTAAGGTTGACTACCAGCTATCACTTCACTGATACTTAACAGGTAGTTGGTTTTGTTACCATCGTTTATGATTTTGCTTGGAATTAGTCGAAGTTTTTTTTCACCCTACATTGTAATATTTTTTATTGGTGGATTGTATGTAAAAGACAGTTTGTTTGGGGCGTATCTTAAAGTTTGTGGAAGCCCTCGAACCTTGGTGGGTGCGTATGGCTGAAGAACATCAAACTAGGACGAAACAGTTGACAGTCTAGTACTTTAGTTCTCTAACCGATGTCACCTCATGATGAAATCCTCCAATCAATCAATTTTTTTCACCCTCTATCTTCTTTTACCTCTTCTTATTTCGATCTAAAATTGTTTCCCTAATATTTTGTACTTGCACTTTGTTTTTTCTCAAATGTATTGTTTTTTTGATGGTGTGTGGGAAAGAAAATTTATTTTCCATTAAACAGTCTTTAGCTCTGACGTGTCAAAATTGATTTCCACTGCACGAAACACGAAGAAGGTATTTTCACAAGGATAATGTGTAATCACCATTCAGGATATATATGAAGTTTCTTCTTTGTTTTCGCAGGGGAAGAGAAAGAGGCACATGACTATTTCTCACTTTAATGAAATATAAAAGAAAGAAAAAATAAAAAGCATTTTATTTTACTTTAAAAGAAAAAAGAAACATAGTTCAAAGATGTTTGGTCAGTGATCTAGAAAATATTGTTAAATGTTTGTCAACATAAGTGCCTAGCATTGCCTAAATCCAAGGCAAGGCATTATTATTATTTATCATCATCAAAGAGAGCTTAGAATATTAGATAGTTGGAGGCAATCGGTCACAGGAAGCTTTGGACCTATGTTTCGTGCTAGTTGGCACTCACCAGGCAGAAAGGCGTATCTGCAACCCTTTTGAGATTCGAACCCACGTCACTCAGTGCAGCCTGCAGTCAGAGACGTTATCACTGAGCTAGCTATTCGGGCTAGCTCGCGATTGACCTCCTGTAGGACTTTAGTGGATATTTTAATTTGACACTAGTCACTAGTGTGATGTGTCTAGTCCTCTCTATGGTGCAGACTGAATTCTATCAGTCAGGTTTGTAATGTGGCCACCATTCTAGGTAACTCACCATCACAGTGAACATTGATTTGATGATATTAGATGGTTTGAGCTTAGAATAGCAGTCAACTCCCCTTACCTCACCTTTGCCGACTTTGAAAAAGCCTTCAGCTAAGTCGACAGTCTGTCTGTCTGTTTTCGACAGAGAACTTTGCACTGATATGCAGCAGTTCAAGTCGCCACACTCACTCCATGTAGCACACAAAACAAACAGAAGAAAGTAGAAGAAATGCTTAATAGAGACAGTAAACAGAGGTGTGAGACAAAGGAATAGTAAGAGCGAAGAACAATATAGTTTCATTGGAAATCATAAGTCACAAGGAATGGATGCGACAGTAAGAGAATCTGAAACTGTATAATGCAGCAAACATTTTAAAAGCTCATCCAACAGCTATACGATGCCACCACATGTCATATGATTCACATGGAAGAGCTCAGCAAATCCTTTGAAATGAAAACAACAGTGAAACAAGACCTACCTACAATAAGCAATGATGATTTTGATGGGCAGAAAAGTCGGGAAGCGAAAAAGCAAGAGATTTGTTGGATTCATAATAATACTCTTGGAGAAGCAGACTTTGCGGACAACTTAGGTCTAGTGTTGTTACACGTAACTCGAAGACCTACAGGTGAAACAAGTAAGCTGAAGAAGCAGTGAAACACACAGGACTTCAGATGAGCATAAGGAAGACAGTGGTGATAAAGATATACCTAACCAGCAGGCGGCAATCACTATCAATCGGAGAAATTTCGAGGAATTCGCCTCTTTCACTCATTTAGTCAGCATTGTTCTAACACTACAGGCGGAATCGATCACGATGTCAAAAGCAAAATAATATGAAAGCAAAACAAGCGTTTGGAATGAAACCAGAAGCAAGATAAGGTTTCCTGTTATCACCAATGACGGGGAATATGTTGAACCACCTGTAGAATATCTGGACTTTGTGGATGACTTTTGTCGCGTGTCTCACAAACTTGAAAATTTACATGGTCAAAGACAAAACTTCCAGTGTAGGCAGATAGGCCTAGTGATGAAAACAAAACAACAACAAAAGCAGATGTTCATTAATAGGAGAAATCGAAGGGAAGTTATCTCTTTCAGTGGTAAAGCCAAGAGAAAAGTTTATTACACTCTAAAATCAATGGGTAAGCCTTCTGCAGAATCCAGTACTTTTAGATAATTCAAAGACCTGATGCTTGTCATCAGAAGCACTTTAATAGCCTACTGTAGGCTTTCATCAATAGCTTTCTCTGCTGTCTGTTGAAAATCATTTGTCCGGCGAAAAGTTATCAACAATAATTAATTCATCAGGCAGCAAATCAAATAATAATAATAATCTTATTACCCAAAAGGTATACAGAAGACATTGTAAATTATTCGGACTTTCTCCGAAGAGACTATTGTGTAACACCGTATGCGAGGTCGTCGGTTTGAACTTAAATGGAAAAGATAAAAAGTGAACGTCCAAAGATAACATGGAAGGGATAATGTGAAGAGGAAATAGTCATGGAATTAGTTTAAAAGGACAGCAGAGTAAATAGCTGGATGGCGATATTCCGCCGAAACCGTACATTTCTTCGGGAATACGAGGAAAGATTATTGTGTCAAAAATTGACGCTTTTGCTTGATGCAGGTGTCGTAAGTATACAGTTTTAAACAGTTTCACTCTGGATCGTCGAATTAGATGTTTACTGCCTTAACAATAGTTGGCTAACTTACTTTACTTTACTTTACTTCGGCTATCTCCTACGGGATGAGCCGGCTTCATGAACGTCTCGAATCATCGCTGCCCAGGCGCGGCAATTTGTAAGAGAGTTCATGAAGTTTCATGGGAATTTGGTACGAGTGATGTCCCCAGCATCGCTCGGCTTTTGTTTGAGAGT